TAAAACTTGACCAAGTGTGCTTCATTGTTCATTTTACATTAAAAGCTGGTTCACTCCTATCCACATAACATGTATTCTATAGAGTAGAATGTACTTTCAGCGGTGATGGGATACTGCTTTTCCTCATCATTCATGTAAATAAAGATGTTTTTCTTTGATCCATTGCTCTTCCATGCACTTTGCTATTTTAAATGTATGTTTGTATTAAGGTTCTGAATGTCATTTCCCATTTGTGTATCATAAAAGACGTGTAATAGCATAGTATTTATTGTTGTTATTAGGTTATTACGTAAAGAAGAAGCAAATATATTTCAAAAGAGAAAAAGCATATGATATTATGATTAAGTGTTAGACAACGGCAACATTTTGTATAACAAGAAAAGGCTTTTACACTGTTTTGGTTGAAATCAAAGGTCTTTCTGTGTGTCTGTGGTCACATACTGTGTGAGTCTAATACTGTCTACAGCAATGTTTCCTGAATAACCTCTACATCTCCAGCTTTGGGGCAAGACACTTTATTTCTTTATCTGCTGCCCTTCTGTTTGTTTGATCTTGTTTCAGTTGGGAAAATGGAGAGCACAAATTGAAACGACTGTCAGTCTGTTTCTGGGTTTTATGACATCTCTAAAACACCAAGTCTGTGCTGAGGGATAAAGCAGCCGGCCAAAGAAAAACTATTCAAGTGTGCCATTAATGTGGAACAAAGATAGGGGAGTGAGTGTCAATAAAGTGAGACAGGTTTCTCTTTTCCCTTTATCCTAAAAGCTAACCTCAAATGATTCTATATTATACCCTAGCATGTTCAGCTTATGTTGTCATGATCCACAGAGCAAGAGCTTACTCTTCTCTCTCTGTTGGTTTTCTTACGGGTTTTACAAGGTGTTCACCTGTTCAAGTTTATTAAGGCAGCTACTACTACTACTAATGTCATTAAGATGCAGCTCGTGTCACCATCCAAATACTATATAGTTACATCTATATTTAGCTTTCTCCTTCCTCAACCCTGACATATAAGGGGTGGACAATATGACTTCAAATGCACCTATAAGGACTTCACAGAGAGTTATCAGTCATTAGAACTTTAGCTAGAATTTGAGCTGTAGTATATGCCAGAAGTCTAAAGAACCACGGACCATGCTTCTGCACATACAGAAGATGAACCTGCGTTAGCGTCATTCTGAGAAATGTGATACCTGGACCCTACCCCACATTTCAAACCTTCCTGGAACAACTAATAAGCTAGTTTAGAGCAAAGGACTGTTTCATCTGTAGCTTAGATGCGGTGCTGTGTGTGCTTCTTCTCCTAATGGTATCAATGGTATTTGCTGAAAAATGCAATATATTTCAGTTTGAAACAATCACGCAAAGACTATTTTAAACCAAAATGCAAGAGAAGATAAATGTTGACACTGAATAGTAGAGTGATATACAAAATGTGTTGGTGCCCCGTGCGAGCCCAAACTTGTATTACCAAACTTTAGTTACGTCCATAGTAACATCCACACCAAGTATTTAACTTATGGAACAAATGTAGGCTTTTTATTTGAACCCTAACCAAAATATTTTCGTTAACCTAACTTTAGGGTAATTAAGTTGTCATCATCAGAGGAAGTTGGGTATTAGCTAGCATCACACACACCAAGCTTCACGCAACTGTGAGTCAAATAGCACAGGAAACACAATTCCAGTGTAACCTTTAGTCCAACTTCTGGGTGCTTCAAAGATTTGTAAAGACAGATTCATCTGGCAATGACTATTTTAAGTGGAACACCTGGGGAAGTACCAGGATGGAGGAGAAGATCAGTGTTAGCCCCGAATAGAAGACTGAACTGAGTGATGAAGACAAAAGTCCTTTTTAACATACTTATGTTGCGTCACTTCCGAACAAAAACCACCCCAAGTACGTCATTTACGGAACTGGCTTCAAACTGTTGTAAAGACAGATTACACCCCTCCCTACTACATTTAAAGTTATTTTGTCCACTGCCTTCTATATATTTATGTTCAGTGTTGATTGCTTGTTTGTGATCCATTCAGAGTACCTCTACAGTCAGTTTGGGTTGTAAATGACCGTGGCTCCAGTAGAGAGCCACACACACTTTCCTCTGGGGGATTGTAGGTGACAGAGCCCGAGTCAAAAGACTTATGAACCGGGCAGACGTCTACTATCAAAGGAGCCACAGGGGAGCCAATTTAAAGGCCACATCTTTTTTATAAAGAGGTAGTAGGACTCATCACAGATGTGAGAAGGTACAGATGTGAGAAGAACCGCATCAGCAACGCTGAGCAGTGGTCTTTATGTTTGCTCAATACAAACTCTTTTCTTTTCCTTTGAACCCCCTTTAATGTGCTCTCCTTTTCTTTCCAAGACATGGGTTTACGTGTGTATTGATTTTTAGAGATACAAGTTTTGTATGAAAAAATAACCAAACAAGTTCTAGTCCAAACATGTGCTGTATGTGAATTGCTTTGTTTGTTTTTTGTAAATGATCTGCTAATGTATTTAGTTATTTGATAAGTTGTTAATTCTAGGTATTAACTTAAAAAAGATTCTATGTTTTTCTCTATGTTGATTACTTTCCTTTTCTCTGATATACTCTCATGCTAATATCTGATGAATATGTACTAGGCTGCCTATTTGTGTTGGGCATAAAATACTCTAACTGTTGGCCAGGTATTTACTTCATTCCCTTTATGAGAAGAACATGTATATATATATATATATATATATCACATAACTGTGTATCCTCAAATCTCAATATACTTGTCTTTAAAGCTACCTTTGTCAGATTCATGGTTGTCTGTTCAATGATCGTCACGGTAACTCAAGAGAATTATCTTCTGGCTTCTGAAACATCACCTCTTTCTCCCCGACATTCTTTCTGTTTCCCCTTTTCCACTGAAAATCAGTATGGTTCTTCCGCCATGCTGGTGCTTGTGTGGTTTTTAAGTGAGAACTTGTTTCATTCTCCACCGATAAGAGCCCAAGTTCTTCCCAGTCATGACATCAGTGTTTACGCCGCTGATTTTCCATTCACAAAAACAACAAAAGCGGACTGCGTCGGGTCGATGCTTGTGTTGCTCTTACTCGTATGAAGCCAGATTAGATTAAAGAACGATTTCTCCAACGTTAAACTCTTTCCAGAGTGCAGTGGTTCATCGCTTAACTATTTGGTTCTGTGGCATTTATCGACCACTGCAGTGCACCGGCGTTCAGCACCGTTTACTCACGGCAGTGAAAGTTCAAATTCACTGTCTGACTGTCACACAAGCAGCTGATGCATATTTCCCATCCCCATAAGTGGATGTTTTTCCGTTTGAATTGACGCTGTTTGGCATCATAAAGACGTCATTAAAGTTTCTCTTTTATAAAATAGGTGATGTTAGCATAGCCATTGTAGCTAATCTGACTATCTTGACTGTTGGTTGCTATCATATTGTGGGAGAAACCATTTTCTACTGGCATATTTAAAAACATATTGGTTTGCATCGGGCACTGGCTCCAAACAGGCCCTGGAACCACTTTGGTAGAGAAAGGGTATGGGAGGAGGTAGAGCGTGTGTACACACCTTAACAAACGTACAGATGTAGAGAAGTGAGAGGAAGAACCCCTGTAGGAATCTTTGTGGAGTTTGAGGGGGGGGACAGGGAACTTCTCAAGCTATTAACTTCTGCAGGAGGTATTTGCCCAAAGTGATTAATATATCTGTCACCTCAGAGCAGCTCCAGGTATTTGAGTGTATACCTCCGCCCCGAATCCTTCCTCTCCGCTCAGCCCCCGCCGCTCTCTGCTTTCTCTCCCCTATCTTGTCTCCCCTCCTCTTCCCTGTGAGGCTCCGTTCCATAGAAATGCATCCAGGAGGTAGCAGGGCTGTTAAGCTGAGACGAGAGGACGGCCTTATTGGCTCTGATTGGAGACTCGGCGGTGCATCTGTCTCTTTTCTCGCCCTTTCTTTCTCCAGAGGGGCAGGACCGAGCAACTACAAAGTTATGCTGAAATTAAAGTCGGCCTCTTCTGTTCTCGCCTCGGAGGATCCACCCCCCCCCTCCTCCCCCCCCCCCCCCCCCCCCCCCCCCACTCACACATACCTCCTTCCTTCGCTTTAACAACTCATCACCCAGAATTAAACTGGTTCAGTCAAGACGAAAGCCTCCCAGGACACCGCCAGCCTCTTCTTCTCTTCTCTGTTGCTGGAGTGTGCTGCTTGTTCCCTCACATACAAAAGGATAGTCTTGTACTAAAAAAACAATTGCAGTGCTCACTTGATACTGCTAAGCCTCTCAGATAGTCAACGATAATACTTGTAGTAAGAGCTTGACTGAAATAAGTGTTTTAAATGCTGATACTGTCTCTTACTCTTGGATTGGAATAGAAGTTGCAGTTGATATAATTAACTGGTGCCACTATTGTTTTAATGACTTTCACAACCTGCCTGATTATTGCTAACCAGTATTGGGAAAACCCTCATATATGTACATTGTTAATTCTAGTAATAATATAATAATGTTGGAATTATTGGAATTGAATGAGCCAAATAAATGTCATAGCCAATATATACCGTGCTGATTTTCTCAGCAAGTTCAAATAAGGCGCTGTAAGGTTTATGTATTTGGTAACTATATATTATGTCAGTCATGCACATAAGTACAGATTCATTTTGTTTAACAGTGTGGAAACGGGTCCTTGCCCCCTTAAAATGACATTCGATTTTTCCATTTCTATTGACTTTTTTCTAGACTGCTGTTTTAGAAATGGTGTTTTATATTGTGTTATCCTGTGATCATGTTTGGCAAGGAGAGCTGATCCCTCAATGGAGCGCTGAGTTGGTATGATTATGATGATGCAGCTGTTTTGATTTCATTGTGTGAATATAACCCTGATTTAGGTTTTCTTTAGGAAAGTATGTTTTTTATATTCATTCACACTGCATAGAAATGTTCCTTTAACAATGTAGCTACATGTCTTATTTAACTGACTTGCTTATTCTCTCTTGTTTTAGTAACTGAAAGACAGACTAGAGGAGTGAATACAGATGGACATCAACTAAAAAAAGAGAAGAACAGCACGGACACGTGGGACATTAAAAAAAGAGAAGAACAGCACGGACACGTGGGACATTAAAAAAAGATCAACTTAAACAAAAAGAGCCGATTTGAAAAGGAGCCCTTCTATCAAGAATGATCGGGGATCTGACAGGATGGAGGGGGGGTGAGGGCCTGCTCTGGGGCCACGGCCTGAACATGGAGCCTGTAGTCCTGAAGAGGGGCCCCTGGCTCTGAGCCCTGAAAAACAAACGCTGAGTGGAAGAGACCAATTAGAGAAGTCACCATAAAACATTTTATTTTTGTAAACTTTTTTAAGTTTATGATTTCCAAAAAGATCAAACACTAATGTACGTATATACATATTATATATTATATGTGTGTAATATAGTAAGTATGTTTTAAAAAAACGAAGAACTTGGAGGAAAATGTTATGTGTCTTTGTGATGAGGATGGGGGAGGTGGGGTGAGGAGAAGCCCCCCCCCCGTCCTCTGATCATCTCCCCCCACACTCCTGCCCCATCAACCTGGATGGGGCAGGAGTGATGGGGAGAGTATGGAAAAGGTGTGTGTGTGTGTGTGTGTGTGTGTGTGTGTGTGTGTGTGTGTGTGTGTGTGTGTGTGTGTGTGTGTGTGTGTGTGTGTGTGTGTGTGGTGTGTGTGTGTGTGTGTGTGTGTGTGTGTGTGTGTGTGTGTGTGTGTGTGTGTGTGTGTGTGTGTGCGTGCGTGCGTGCGTGCGTGCGTGCGTGCGTGCGTGCGTGCGTGCGTGCGTGCGTGCGTGCGTGCGTGCGTGCGTGCGTGCGTGCGTGTGCGCGTGTGCGTGTGCCGCTCCAGCAGACATGTCACTATGTGATTGCTATGGGAATACGGAGTACTCTTCAGATAAAAAAAACAAAGAAAAAAAATACATTTTCGAGCTTGTCTTCTCTTGGACTGCAAAAGTGTAGATGTTCCTTTGGGGAGTTATGACAAGCAGGCTGTATTTTATAGATAAGAAAAAAATAAGAATGATGACTAAGTATCCCTATGTTGGCCTGAGCCAATTGGGATAAGAAGAGATAGAAATGATGTGATGAGTTGATCAGCTAAAGTACACTGAACTGTTCACGAGAACAGCTGAAGTACACTCATTAGTGCACGTGAACAGCTAAAGTACACTGAACTGTTCACGAGAACAGCTGAAGTACACTCGTTAGTGCACGTGAACAGCTAAAGTACACTGAACTGTTCACGAGAACAGCTGAAGTACACTCATTAGTGCACGAGAACAGCTAAAGTACACTGAACTGTTCACGAGAACAGCTGAAGTACACTCATTAGTGCACGAGAACAGCTGAAGTACACTGAACTGTTCACGAGAACAGCTGAAGTACACTCATTAGTGCACGTGAACAGCTAAAGTACACTGAACTGTTCACGAGAACAGCTGAAGTACACTCATTAGTGCACGAGAACAGCTGAAGTACACTGAACTGTTCACGAGAACAGCTGAAGTACACTCGTTAGTGCACGTGAACAGCTAAAGTACACTGAACTGTTCACGAGAACAGCTGAAGTACACTCATTAGTGCACGAGAACAGCTAAAGTACACTGATCAGTGCACTTGAACAGCTGAAGTACACTCATTAGTGCACGAGAACAGCTAAAGTACACTGAACTGTTCACGAGAACAGCTGAAGTACACTCATTAGTGCACGAGAACAGCTGAAGTACACTGAACTGTTCACGAGAACAGCTGAAGTACACTCATTAGTGCACGAGAACAGCTGAAGTACACTCATTAGTGCACGAGAACAGCTAAAGTACACTGAACTGTTCACGAGAACAGCTGAAGTACACTCATTAGTGCACGAGAACAGCTGAAGTACACTCATTAGTGCACGAGAACAGCTAAAGTACACTGAACTGTTCACGAGAACAGCTGAAGTACACTCATTAGTGCACGAGAACAGCTAAAGTACACTGAACTGTTCACGAGAACAGCTGAAGTACACTCATTAGTGCACGAGAACAGCTGAAGTACACTGAACTGTTCACGAGAACAGCTGAAGTACACTCATTAGTGCACGTGAACAGCTAAAGTACACTGAACTGTTCACGAGAACAGCTGAAGTACACTCATTAGTGCACGAGAACAGCTGAAGTACACTGAACTGTTCACGAGAACAGCTGAAGTACACTCATTAGTGCACGAGAACAGCTAAAGTACACTGAACTGTTCACGAGAACAGCTGAAGTACACTCGTTAGTGCACGTGAACAGCTAAAGTACACTGAACTGTTCACGAGAACAGCTGAAGTACACTCATTAGTGCACGAGAACAGCTAAAGTACACTGAACTGTTCACGAGAACAGCTGAAGTACACTCATTAGTGCACGAGAACAGCTGAAGTACACTGATCAGTGCACTTGAACAGCTGAAGTACACTCGTTAGTGCACGAGAACAGCTGAAGTACACTGAACTGTTCACGAGAACAGCTGAAGTACACTCATTAGTGCACGAGAACAGCTAAAGTACACTGAACTGTTCACGAGAACAGCTGAAGTACACTCATTAGTGCACGAGAACAGCTGAAGTACACTCATTAGTGCACGAGAACAGCTAAAGTACACTGAACTGTTCACGAGAACAGCTGAAGTACACTCATTAGTGCACGAGAACAGCTAAAGTACACTGAACTGTTCACGAGAACAGCTGAAGTACACTCATTAGTGCACGAGAACAGCTGAAGTACACTGAACTGTTCACGAGAACAGCTGAAGTACACTCATTAGTGCACGTGAACAGCTAAAGTACACTGAACTGTTCACGAGAACAGCTGAAGTACACTCATTAGTGCACGAGAACAGCTAAAGTACACTGAACTGTTCACGAGAACAGCTGAAGTACACTCATTAGTGCACGAGAACAGCTGAAGTACACTCATTAGTGCACGAGAACAGCTAAAGTACACTGAACTGTTCACGAGAACAGCTGAAGTACACTCATTAGTGCACGAGAACAGCTAAAGTACACTGAACTGTTCACGAGAACAGCTGAAGTACACTCATTAGTGCACGAGAACAGCTGAAGTACACTGAACTGTTCACGAGAACAGCTGAAGTACACTCATTAGTGCACGTGAACAGCTAAAGTACACTGAACTGTTCACGAGAACAGCTGAAGTACACTCATTAGTGCACGAGAACAGCTAAAGTACACTGAACTGTTCACGAGAACAGCTGAAGTACACTCATTAGTGCACGAGAACAGCTGAAGTACACTCATTAGTGCACGAGAACAGCTAAAGTACACTGAACTGTTCACGAGAACAGCTGAAGTACACTCATTAGTGCACGAGAACAGCTAAAGTACACTGAACTGTTCACGAGAACAGCTGAAGTACACTCATTAGTGCACGAGAACAGCTGAAGTACACTGAACTGTTCACGAGAACAGCTGAAGTACACTCATTAGTGCACGTGAACAGCTGAAGTACACTGAACTGTTCACGAGAACAGCTGAAGTACACTCATTAGTGCACGAGAACAGCTAAAGTACACTGATCAGTGCACTTGAACAGCTGAAGTACACTCGTTAGTGCACGTGAACAGCTAAAGTACACTGAACTGTTCACGAGAACAGCTGAAGTACACTCATTAGTGCACGAGAACAGCTAAAGTACACTGAACTGTTCACGAGAACAGCTGAAGTACACTCATTAGTGCACGAGAACAGCTAAAGTACACTGATCAGTGCACTTGAACAGCTGAAGTACACTCGTTAGTGCACGAGAACAGCTGAAATACAATGGTTAGCGCACGAGAACTGCTTAAGTAAACTGATCAGCGCACGAGAACAGCTGGAGTAAACTGATCAATGATCAGTGCACGAGAACAGCTGGAGTACACTGATTAGTGCACGAGAACAGCTGGAGTAAACTGATCACTGATCAGTGCACGAGAACAGCTGGAGTACACTGATTAGTGCACGAGAACAGCTGGAGTAAACTGATCAATGATCAGCGCACAAGAACAGCTGGAGTAAACTGATCACTGATCAGTGCACGAGAACAGCTGGAGTACAGTGAGAAAGCTGATTGGCCAGTAGTATGTCATGTCTGCTGGAGGCCTGCCATCACTACATGTCATTGTGGTTTGAGGTGGCTGTGTTGTGTAGTGAACTGCTTTTGTACATCGTGTTGGGTAGGGTAGGGGGGGGGCTCAGGCAGTCTGAAGGACGGTACACACAAAGAAAAGTCTCCCATCCATCCTTGAACACAGCCCTCAGCTTCCACATCGAGGAAGGCTGATGGGGTGAGAGGGGGGGAGGGGAAGGGATACATAAGCCCTATATGAAGTCAAAAAAAGTGTCACGAACAAACAAAGTTTTACTAAGAGTCTCTTTAAACCTTTCTATTTATATGGATCTCTACTTTAGTGACATCCTTCTATATTTAAACGTTGTACTAATAACATGCTGTCAGGCATGGTCAGAGAGTCAGTTGTAGCCATTTACTAATGTTGTATTTATTGTATTACCAGTAAGGAGAAAAAAAACATTTATATATGAATATAGATATATCTATTTGTGATCTGCAACTCTTGGACATAAGTTTGCCTTTCATTTGGGACTTTCATGCAGGATTCAATACACTGTCCATGTATGATAAGGTTTCTACTTGTGTGATGTTTTATTCTGTTGACATTCATTACCCTTCAGTTCAGCTACTGAATGTATCTTCAAAACACTTTTTAGGTAGATGTTGTTGTTTTATATATACTTAAAAAAAGCATACAGTACTCTGTAAATGACATACATGTGTAAATGATATAGCAAAATGTTTCTGATAATATGCTGGACTTCTTCTTCTTCTGCTGCTGCTGATCCAGATGGACTGTTATGCCATGGCCAAAAAAAAGAAAGAGGGAGAAAAAGATGAGGGAAGCATGGGAACACCAGTGCCCTGCAGTGGGGAGACAGAGACGTGTAATCATTACTGGATCACTCAGAATTCTTCTCAGCCAGGCTCTTCAAATGTGATAAGAACAAGGAGAGGGAAACACAGAGGGAGGGGAGTCAGATCAAACTTTTTTTTTAAATATAGATTTTCTCTTGGTACTTTCTGCCCGTCTGTTCTCTCTCCCTTTGTCGTTTCCTCTTGAATCTCTTGAACATTTTAGCTGGGGTTGAGTTTTTTGTGGGGGCTGAGGAAGAGGAGGAAGAGGCAAAAAAGAGGAGTGGGGAACAGTCCTCTATGCTATATGGGGTGGACAAAATAATAGAGACCTCCAATGATCATAATGCTGATATCATATTCTAAAGAAAATGTGTTCAAATGTCTATCTGTCTGTTTTATTAACAACTTGCAAGTCATTTATAATCATTTGAATAGGTATCATTTGTATTATTATTTAG